ATGTCAAACAGGAAAGGGTTTCGTTTGACTCTGCCAGTAACGCCTCGGCCGCCTTCTCGTCCGAGAACTCCTCTCCTCTGTTTCGAGGACACTGTTTTAGACAATAAGATTGATACTGGCTCAGACGAGTCAACAGTGTCAGTTTTATCCAAGTCCTTAAAGCGAAAGTTGCCCGCAAAAGATGAAAAAGCCCGCCAAAGTGCTTCGCCTTCATCGAGTGAAGAGGAAACCCGCGAAAGTCAGCTTGAAAGTACGAGCCGACGAAAGAAACCTGTTTCTGGTTAGTAATCGCTCTACCCTTTTACCACCAGAAATAACAATAATACCTGACTCACAGAATAACAAATTTTCTCGTTTTCTCAGAGTGGTCTGTTGTCAAGGTGAAAGATTGGGCGGTGCAGAGTCTTGGTGATGCCGTTGGCGAGAAATTTGCATACGAAGAAATTGATGGTGCAATTCTCTTGTCACAAACGGTTCAAACTGAAGAGGCAATGGAAAAACTTGGCCTACATACAATTGGAAAAAAAGAAAAATTATTGGCCAAAGTAGATGAACTTTCAGGTATGTGTGGTAACTCGCGTGTCTGTTGAAAATTTTCAGTTTGCTATAAGCTTAAACCTTCGTTGTTTACTTGCCTGCAGTTGTCTTATGACTTATCGTAGATTGTAAATGGGGCGTTTATTGGTCAAAAGGTGGTTATTTGAGTGTGCGCTTCAATTAGATCATTTGAGGTAATGCTCTTTTTTAGAGATTTAAATATAGCCTTGTATGAGAAAATAGAAATGGAAGGTGGAAGCATTGTAAGTCGTGGCAAAGAAATTTATCTTCTTTCCCAATCAAAATATTTCTATTATGATTAGTTTTCCTGGTGTATTTTGTGAGAGTTTTGATAAGCTGTTGATTCCATTGCCTTTATGTTTTGTCAAACAGGAGGACAGACCCAACCCAATCAGAGTGCGACGTGTGGACACGTGACAGGCTACTAACCCACCTAGAAAAAAAGAATTTAACGTGAAGACAAGCGTGTTTAAAACACAAAGTAAGGGGCCTAAAAACTACCTGATTGCATAACTTATTGAGGCAAGGATTAAGTTTTTCAAGTTTGATTACATTAAACTTAATTTGACAAGTGTTATGGTCAGTGAAAATGTTAATTTTTACTGTATGCCAATAAGTTTTCACCTTTATACTCACTTCTGCTGAACAAATGCATGCTACACTGGAGAAAACTTATACATTGTTTATTTGGACTACTTTCAACGGAAAGAAGATGGTGCAGGCAGAAATCAACAAAGAATGGCCATCTAACAAAGGCATCCCATCCTTTAGACCACACAACAGGGAAGAAGTACTCAAACTTGATGAGTTTGTAAGAAGATTAACTGAAGGTGAAGGATCGTCGAAGTTCGTGTTTCAGAAATGTGGATTTGGCCCCAATGCAATACGGGAAATGGTTATGTCAGATGAGGGAAAGGAGGAGGAAAGAGAATGATTCCTGTGTAGTGGTTTGTGTTACATGTACACATATCTGTAAGTCTTGCCAAATATGGCACACTGACTGCTTTGACCATATTTGGGCATAAGAGAGGAGCCCACGAGTTGGTTGAAGGCGACAGGAGTTTTTGGGGCAATGCTTAGCTTGCCCGCTTTGGGTTATGATTTTTCCCTCATTTATTTATATGGACATTATCTTCGGACAATTACATCTGTTGATGATAGGAACTGAACTGGAGGCTGTGCCAGCGGATACAATAAGCTTTGAACTCTGTATTTACTCGTATCTTAGAGCTAGTTGCGTTCACTCTGATCGTGTATGTAGATTATATTCGTTTATGATAAACGTGTTGCTGTTATTTGAATGTCGCTGGTCCCACTGGTTACACGTTCGTAACATTTGTAAACTACCATCTGCAGGTGACAGTGGTGGGGATACAGAGAGTGTCGAGGCAAGCTCTAATGACTCCCCCCCAAGTACTCAAAGTGCTGTGGAAAAAAAGAGACCGGAATATACAGATTATTTTCACCCCCGTAAGTAAAAGCAAATGCAAATAACGCCATTTGTTTTATTACTGCAACAGTTTCATTAATATTATTAGTATTTTATTTATTGACGTACAGGCTCAGAGTTGCACTTAAAGTTTCACCCTTAACTTCTCTCAAAGCATTTATAGTTTCTTCTCTAGCTCTTCCACTTTGATCACCCACAACATCAAGTGAGTTCAGATGTAACAGGTGCTACAAGTTACATCCCTTATGACATTTTAGGTGCTCTAACTGTAATAGATGTACCTGTTATGGTGATTGTTGAGGTGCACTGTTAATAATGAATTATTATTATTGTTACCATTATTATTCCCTTGATTAATGTTATAAGTTCTTAAAGGGCCAAGATTACTTAATTCGGTACGTGCTTTTAGCCAGACATTGAAAACTGGCAGTGTTTTCCCATAGAATTATGAGATTAAGTGAATTTTCCTTTTATTGATGAACAGAAAGCGGAGACTCTCGAAAATGCTGCTCGTCTCGCCGATGATTACTCGTTGACTCACAAGGATTCATTTGTTGGTAAACCTCACCAGTCCTTTTCTCCTAGTGGCCGTCAAGATCCTTCATCCTCAAATTTACCACCGCCTGGTTCTACAGGAAATTCTGGCAAGGAAGATTCACGGAAGGATAAATTTGAAAATGGCTCACGTTCAAGTTCAAGGTTCAAGCCTCCCATAAATTCTAAACCTCCTTTGCCAAAAAAGCCTTTCAATTCTGTTGTTTGTAATTATTGCAAGAAAGAGGGTCATGTGTTGTCAGATTGTCTTAAGTTAAAAAGGAAGCAGCAGGGTCAAAATGAATCTAAACCAACTGGTTTGATATCTTCCAGATCTGTTCCCCAATTTTGTGACAATGTGAATGATACATTACACGGGATTAAATCGCCTAGAGATTCTAGTTATGGGGTTAGTTTTCCTACCAAGCCCATTATGGAGACTTTTGAGCCATTCATACATGATGGTTTTGTATCACTGACAAGTGATTTGTCAAATAACACTGCAGTTAAAATTTTGAGGGACACTGGAGCTTCACAGTCTCTTTTGTTGGCAGATGCTTTGCCGTTTTCTGAAAAGTCATCTGCAGGGGTAAGTGTCCTTATTAAGGGTGTAGATTCTTCGGACTATACACCTGTTCCTCTCCATAATGTTTATTTGTCATCAAATTTAGTATCTGGATCTGTTACCCTGGGCATTAGACCTTCTTTACCTTTTGATGGGGTTCACCTTCTTTGAGGAAATGACCTTGCAGGGAACAAGGTAGTTATTAACCCTGTTGTTACTGAAAACCCATGTTTAAATCAAACTTCTGACCCTATTGAAAAAGAAATTCCCGGTTTGTATCCATCCTGTGCAGTTACTCGAGCCATGAGTAAGAAAAAGGCAATTGAAGGTGACATCAATCGTGATGTTGATTTGGCTGATACATTTATGAGTCAAGTTTGTGAGACTGACCTTCCAGAAGTCTCAGAGGAATTCAAATCCTCAGGAAAGAATTCACCTGATGAAAGTTTTTCTGATTACGAAGAAAAAATCTCAAAGGGGAATTTAATTGCTGAACAGCATAAAGACCCAGATATATCGTGCCTATTTCCAAGAACCGTGGATCAAAGTGAAGTTTCAAGTAATCCCATCGGCTACTTTGTTAAGAATGGAGTCTTGATGCGAAAGTGGAGACCACCCGATATTTCTGCTGAGGATGAGTGGGCTATCAAGTACCAGGTTGTTATCCCTAAAGCTTACCGAGTAGAGATTCTCAGCATGGCGCACGAGACTCTACTTGCTGGACACCTGGGGGTCAACAAGACCTATCAGAAGATATTGAATCATTTTTACTGGCCCAACTTGAAGAAGGATGTAGCTGAATTTTGTAGATCTTGTAATACCTGTCAAATTGTTGGGAAGCCTAACAAGTCCATCCCTAAAGCTCCACTTCACCCAATTCCTGCCTTTGAGGAACCATTCAGCAGGATAATTATAGATTGCGTTGGTCCTCTACCCAGAACGAGGTCTGGTAATCAGTACCTGTTGACGATCATGTGTGCCTCTACCCGGTTTCCTGAAGCCATTCCTCTCAAATCCATTGCTAAAGCTTTAACCAAGTTTTTCTCACTGTTTGGGCTACCGAAGTCTATCCAGTCTGACCAAGGTTCAAACTTTATGTCTGGCGTTTTTCAGCAAGTTATGCATGAACTGGCCATAAAGCAGTATAACTCATCTGTCTACCATCCTGAGAGTCAGGGCTCACTTGAAAGGTTCCACCAGACGTACAAGAATATGATTCGCACCTATTGTTATGATACAGAGAAGGATTGGGACGAGGGCGTCCATCTACTTTTGTTTGCAGCAAGAGAGTCAGTTCAGGAGTCGTTAGGTTTTAGTCCGTTCAAGTTGGTTTTTTGACACACTGTGAGAGGACCTCTTAAGAGCGGATGTCTGTAAATATCGACCAGAGGTCTACAAAAGTGAAAAATCGAAAATTCTCAAAAAAATTCACAAAGTAGCACTAGGTAAGCTATTAACATAAATGTAATTTTTACTTCGATCCGATAATTATTTTCCACGTACGGGGGGGTTATTGGTTTCGCGGCTCTCGGACCGGGTTTTTCAGGCCCGAGACCATGTGTCACAAAAAAATCGTTTTAAACTTCAAATCCATTGTAATGAGGACAACAAATAACTTATTCAGAAGAGTACATAACTGCACACATTTTAAGTGGTGATTTACTCAGTTTGAACGAAAGTGTAATATTTTGGAGATTTTTCATTATTTTCAATATTTTGAACATTTTCGTTCAATGAAAAAATGGCAAATGTCAAAGCCCAAAATCGTCGACTGGTACCTCGATTTCAGTAACGAGTCTCATACCACGTTAAAGAGCGTTATCTCTTCTTTCAAAATCTGTTTTCAAAACTATGGGCAACTTAAAAGAAAATTTCTGAGGCCAAAAAATACAAGTAGCACTTTTCTGAAATTTGAGCTTTCCAGACTCTGCGGGCCAATGCTAAAAACTCGCAAAAATACAATAAGAAATCCGTTTGAGCAACAGTGGTTTCATGTTATCAGCTTTCAGAAACCAAAACGTGTTTATACAGCGATCTCATATAAATTAATGCCGTTTGCTATCAAGAAAGGCAAATTTAAGCTGTCAACTCCCGCCAAGTGTACCAGTCACGTGAAGTTGTCAAAGGGAGGGCAAAGCACTAATATTAAAAAGTCTTAAAATTCAAAACGTTCTACGTCCATGAAATCAGATTTTAGCGTACAAAACAATGTTGTGAATGTCTGTTGTTCGTACCTTAGCATGGTGTTACATTTCACAGAACGACCGTTTACCACTGTTGTCACTCCTTTTTTCGCTGGATTTCATTCCGTCATGAGTGATTCAGATTCTTGATCAGCGCTTCCTTGAAAGTACGACCCCGGACAGATGATAACTGAGGACGTCTCGTCAAGACTCCTGTTGTTCAGTTTCAGGCTTTAGCAGGTGCGTAGTCAGGATTTTTTTTGGGAGGTACGCCCACCTTTTTCTAAATCGTCTTCCCCCCTCCCCCCACCCCAAATCTCAACATTTTTTTAAGGTACCTTTATTAAAGGTGGGGTTGACGGTTGTAAGCAAAAGTATTTTTGCTGTTTATGAAATGACACAACATTTTCTGCCATATTGAGTTTGTGTCGATTTGGTGACCATGTCTTGTTGTTTTCAGGCTCCACGGCAATGATGCTGGTGTTTCAGGCCTCCTGTTCTCAGATTTCTTGTGATTTTTTTTCACCCCACCGACCGACCCACCCAAAATCAAGAAACCTATTCGACCCTAAACGAACGAAAAGGGGCCTTGACGTAAGCCTTATGGTTGTTTTTGGGCTTCCTCCCCACATTGCTTCTGCGTATTTCTGTATACTTGTCTTTTGCTTTGTTTTGTTCTTTTTTGTCGGTAAAATAAACTGAAACTGTACAAAGACCCTCAATAT